TTGGGGTTTAGGGTTTAGGATCCCTCTCACGAACTGCAAGGCATCCTACGGGAGTGAACTTGTGAAGCGGAGTCTGCATTAAGGTCGTGGAGGTGGCGGATGGTTTATATAGGGGGATGTATTTACAGAGGCTACAGGGCGTTAAACTATTATCGAAACTCTTACCAGTGTCTCAAGAAGACAGCTCTGATCTTTCCCAAGCCCTAAAGCCCTAAACCCCAAACCTAAATCCTAGAAAACCTTACACGTTTAAGTACTGTCGGAGACCAAATAAGTACTGATATTATTCCTGAGGGTTCCTTGGTATAGCTATACTGTAAAGTAAAGTCAAACTTCTGTATGCAGGGGTTTAGGGTTTAGGGGGTCTTTGGGGCCTCCATTGGGCCATGCATGCGTGTGCATCCGTTTGATTGTAGGGTTTGGAAGGGCATTCGTATGGTATTTGGGGGTGGGGTTTTGTAGGGGGTTGAAGGATGTTAAAGCCATTCATCCGGGCTTATACGAGTGTGTTGGGGGTCATCTTACCCAAGGATACTGACTTAGGGGTCAGTGTCATAATGATCCTACTAAGTCCTACTAATAGGTCTGTCTTGCGGCGCCTCGATTTTCTGAAACCCCCACTATGTACCTTAACCTACCATAACCCACTTTTTTGTAGGTTCTTATTATAAACCCTAATATGGAATTTATAGGGACCCGACAAAAAAGTAGGTTCTGGTAGGTTAAGGTATGTTGGGATTACATGAGCCTCTATAAGGGTACCTTCAACGTACTCAGCTATCAAGACTCTGCAAAAAGCCAAGCTGCACCAGGTTGAGACCAAGCCTGGAGGACTCATCAACTCATGAGTCAGTGAGCAGGACATTTTGAAGATTGAATGTAGAATAAGCAGTCATACACTAAGTATATAAAGAGTACCGCATTTTTTAACTTGTAGCTCCTGTAAGCCCTGCTTGGTAGAAGTAGCGGCTTAGTAGTACAAGTCTTGTTTATAACGAGGCGGCTTGCGATTGGTCTGAAAGAGGTTTTACTTAGGCTCGTCAATGTATCTTTCATGCAAAGGTAGCACGCCGCCACAAACGGTACATTTCTCCCCTTGTCTGCGCCAAGGGTCGATTCCAGCAAGACAAGAACTTTCTCACGCGTCTTCGGCGGGTCGGGTCCCTAAATCTATAACGGCTTTAAAGCTTTAGAGGATAGTAGGGGTCATGACGCATGTCGTCGGTTTTAGGATTTAGTGCTATGCGGCAACGGTAGTGCGTGTGTAAAGTCAAAGGTCAAGTCCACAGGACATATCGCGCAGGACCTGGTCTACGGGCTATACGCTGTAAGACCGAGTCTTAAGGGTGCCGGGCTTGTGTTTGAGAGTCAGGTTTGCTGCCCCTGATTTGGGAAAATGTGATGTTTTGGATGGCATGGTCGTTCTATGCTAACTAAGGACTGAATAATGGGTACGGGGCATGGTTACCTGACGGCGCAATACGAACCCAAAGACCTTCTCTGAGCCCTACCTGTGGCTCCAAGTACCGAGGGTCATACTCCTGCGGTTGATGATATAAAGCTGCATTACCCATAAGGAATATACCATGATTCCCATAGTCTAGGGTCCTCATAAAGGTAATGCAGGAGTTATATCATCAGCCTACGCCAGCCAAGGTGAAGTGTCTGCCAAGGAGCCCGAGGAATATTTGGTGAACCTGCTCCTCGGACAGAGAACTGCAGAGCGTCTTGGAGTTTCGGGTGGAAGGCTCGGCACGCGCAGTCGGTCTAGCGATGCATGGTTCAGCATGTCCGGTTGTGTGATGTCCTCCTGGCGTGACTCCGGAATTCATCACAACTTATGCCCGGCTGTTGTCACGCAAAGTCATGTTCAAGACATGCACAATTGATAATGCTGACTTGGCGATGACATGATGACATTGAAATAGCGACGCTTCATGTTTGGGCCCCCTGTGCACAAGGATCGGTACCTTCTGTCGTTGTGTCTGCTGCTTCCGTCTTGCGGCGTCTTGCGACATTGGGAGTCCGGACGAACAATGATGGGGCGGATGCGCGTTCCGAGATGCGTCGGTTGTCCCTCACCGCATCACAATGAGCAGATTTGGTTCAACCCCAAGCCGAAAGTCTAAACTCCATAGATCCCGGCTCGGCTACTGTTGACACGCAGTTGGTCACTGCCCCCGAAAGTCTTCTGCGGGAAATTCGTGTCCAAACCTCTACCTGAATTCTTGCTAGCGAGCTTAAGAAGAGCTACCATGCGCAGAACACCGCATTACCCTAACACATGACAAACAAATAAACAAACAATTGACCAAATAAATAAATCAGTACATATATATATATATATATATGTATGTATGTATGTATGTATGTATGTATGTATGTATGTATCAACGCACACACACACACCTGATACGTACAAAGCCTTGTGCTAAGGAAGGTGCGACATGTTACCATGTTGTACCGGTTTACTTAGGGGTTGCGCTTTCGGTTTAGGGGTTATGCTTTTGTAGGCTGCCATGTACACAGGCTAGCCTCACAACAACTAGCTCTCAACCGCCAACATACAGCCCTGCAGTGAATCCTGCTGCTCATAAGCCCATAAACCCTAACAGCACAAGTGCAAGCCAAGGCACAAGGCGTGTTTGTGGCACGATCTGAATAACCTGATCAAATTGTGGCTTCCACAGGATTGAGATTTAGTACTCTGAATTCGCGGTGGGTTAATGGTAATGGCTTGCAGAAGAACCATTACATACCATTACCCATTGTGCAACTAGGCTTAGCAGTGGGCTCTCGACAAGTAAGGTTCTGAGCCCGTTTACACAGGATTTGTTCACGCTAATTGATGTCAATATCACAGACATCCTTTTTACGTGATGTTTTCAGGCTTCAGGGCTCAGCGTTTGCCTCCCCTGAAAGCTCCGTAACCCAAAACCTTCAAGTCCAAAATCCGGTCTCATCCCTTCAACACCGTATGAACCTAAAATTCCGAACACAAAGCACAACTCCTCGAAACCTATCGTAACAGCTCTGAACCTCTCAAACGGTTATGGACAAAGAACATATATAAGCCCACTATAGAACTCTATTTCCAAGGGGGCTTTGTGTTCCTAGACACCGTCGATTCTAGATCTACTTTGAAGCTACACCAAGAAACATAGGTCACAGCCTTGCGCCCTGAACCCCATCTATTAATCCCCAAATCCTAAAGCCATCAACCCGAAAATACCTTAACCCCGAACCCTAACTCCCTAAACCCTTAATAAGCCTGAAACCTCCTAACCTCTGATCCGCCATCAATACACACCTAACCCCCTGATGCAAGCATTTCGGGCCTTACGAAATTGAAACAGGGTTTCGGGGTATTACACTGAGGAGCCCTAATTAAGAATAGCACTGGTAAACACTGACACGTCTACATGCACCCGGCGGAAAGGAATTTTGTAAGGTTTGGCCAAGCTCCTTTATTAAAAGATATTAGAAGGCTTTTGGATGCAGGTTCATTTAGCGGGAAGCTGATTGGAAATTGCGATTGCGATCTCCGAGGGTGTGGCCTGGAGCTATAAAGGAATTGGACTGTGCAAGGGTTCCCGGCGCTCCGCAAGGCTTCGTTTTGCGTCAAGCTTTTGGGGTTATTCTGACTCGCAAGGTGCTGTTGATTAGAAAGGCTCTGCCCTTTCAGCACGGACTGAGGTGCCGGCCAGAGCCCTAAACCCTAAACCCTAAACCGTGGGGGCTTGCGATTTCCGAATCCTTCTTGGCCGCAAGCTACTGGCGAGTTGGGTCTGATCGGAGCTTCCTTTGCGCCAAGCTGTTGTGGAATCGCAACTCGCACGGTTCGTTTTGCGACAAGTTATTGGGGAATGGGGGGTTTGCTTAGCTTTTCCTAAACCCTAAAACCCTCATCCTGAAATCCTGAAACCCAAAACCCCTTAAGCAACAACAAAGAAACCTAACCCCCAAAAACTCAAAGACCCCTTAAGCAACAACAAAGAAACCTAACCCCCAAAACTCAAAAGACCGTGCTTTGCCAAGACACCGTCGGGTCCACGAGCGGCGAGAAGTCTAGAATCCGACCTCCTGACTCCTGGAAGGGACGTGCTATTCATGCTTATAACTAATATGGAAGCTTCCGACAATAAGGGGTACCTCATTTTGGGGTCCTTATAACGAGGATCCTACTATTTAGGGTAGTATATTCGGGTCCCCTATTTTCGGAAACCCCCAAAAGTGTTGTGGGTGTTGCTGTTGTTGTTGGTGGTGGTGTTGTTGCTGTTGGTTTTTTTTACTATTAGTTACTGCTACCGGTTACCTGCCATTGATATGGTTCTTGGCGATTTGTGATATTAGTGTTGCAATCGGCAAACAACCTTAATACCATCCGTCTTCTCGTTGTTGTGTGTGTTTTCACATGTTCCCTGACTAACCATATGTAGAACCGTATTCCGGTTATCTTTCTGACTCTTTATGATTATCATTCCTAAAACGAACTTATGGTGGCTATTGGTGATGTTGATGCTGCAGCAGGTGCTGCTGCTGCTGCTGCTGCTGCTGCGGCTGTCGTCATCGTCGTCGTCGTCGTCGTCGTCGATTGTGTTTGATGCTGTTGTTTGTGGTGATACGCACGGTTCTTGTTGCTGATCAGCAGTGAAGTTATGGTTGATAATTTATATTGTTTCATCCGAGTATGGAGTATCCAACAAAGAAGTGCTCATTGATTACCCGCTCTTTAAGTCTTTATGGTTACAAACATGTCACGCCAAATTACACGTGCCACTCATGTTTGCTATTTAGCTCTTGTTCTGCTTCTGTTGTTCGCTGTTACTGTTACCCTAAACCTCAAACTCTTAAACCGCTGTTGTCGTGATTTCCCTGGAGGGGACTTCTAGGATCTACGGTTTCGTGATTAAGATATTGGGTTCAGCATCTACTGTCAAGCATTTGCATGCTGCTTGGGTTTCGCGGTCGAGGTTTTGAAGCCTGGGGCACGGGAGCGTCTTGCTTCGGGGCTTGTCATATAGGGTGCAGGGCTTAGCGGCTGTGTTCTTCGAGGCTTGGATTGCTGTGATAGGTGTTACAAGTGTTCATACGCTGTTGAGGGGTCTGTTCATGTAATCTGCAATGGTTCCCTGTTGGGCTATGATCTTCGAGAAGGAAACGTCTTCCGGTGGGCCTTCGGCACAAACGACATACGGATCATCTTCATTATCTGGCTAAGCTCTGGACATCCCAAACTATAGAAACCCAATCTCTAATCCCTAAAACTCAGGGGTTTTTAGGGTTCAAAGGGTCTGTAGTGCCGTGTTTCTGGTTTTAGACGGTCCAGAGTTTAGGTCGTAGTGCTCTTGTGGTTTAGATGAACTGAAAAGGAGATCGAACTTCCACACGGAACACTATGGGGAGGGGGGAGGATTCGATCTATCTAACGGGCTGCAGATAAATTCATTTCGACTTAGAGTAGGACGTGCCAAAAAGCGCTGCTGGTTAGCTTGTCAAGCCTTGCTTGTTTGTTTGTGAGGTGGACGGGATCCCGCTGACCCGAAACAGACGAATTTTTCTGCCATGAGATGCCGGCAAGCGGGATGTCTCACAAGCTTCGAAGTATAAGAATGATTCTTGCCACAGCTTCCATGGCCCGTAGGTACTGCCACACGTTGCCACCTTCGGAGTTTCGGGCACTCTGCGGGTAATGTACGGGCCTTAAGAACTAGAACCGGGTTTTGCGCGAGCACATTATAGTATGTTAAAATATGTGAATAAGGAGTTCCAAGCAATTAGTACTAGTAACTAGGTATGTTATAGTAGATTACAGTACATAAAGAAGGAGCCCAAGGAATTAGTACCAGTCCCTAGCCAAGCTTCTATCGCAAGCACATGTCACCATCCTCTTTACTTGGCCTTGAAACGCACTGCCAATCCCAGCAAAACAATTAAAGGCCTCAGGGTCTAGGGGCTTAGGGTTTAGGGTTGAGGGTTTAGGGTTACAGCCGCGTTATGACTAGTGACTAGTAGACGTACCATCTATGTACATTGTCCCTGCATAGTGTTGCTTTAAGATGCTTGCCAAACACTTGTCTAATTCTTGAGGCCCTTCCAGACCCAACGACTCTAGGCCCAAAATGGGAATCGAGTTCCCAATGCTCGAAACACGGGAAAGCGTTCATCTGCATGGCAGCGGGCGTAGCCTTGGGCATGCTGCTAAACACACTAGCAGACGGATACCTTGAGACTCCCGTGCCCCTGAACTTCTGAACAACTACTTTCCCTAAGACTCCAAGTATACAACTAGTACCCTAAACCCTAAACCCTACTTTGGGATCTAAAGTCTACAAATGTTTGCCGACTGCCGGCTCTTTGGAGTCTTAGGGTTAACGAAGCCTGAACGGATTCCTGAACCAAGGTCTTGAGGTGTCTCCGAAGCAATTCCACGAGTACTTCGTGTGTCAGCGGACGTATGAGTCCCTGGGTACTGCAGTTTTATCGGCTCTTCGAACTGCACATCCTGTCTTGCAGAGTTGCAGAATGCTGCAGCCGGCGCCGACAACTCCATCATCGGCACTAGAGCAGGTAGAACTGTGCACTGCATGCACAGTAGTGGTACCCTGGGTTCATGAGTTCACAGCGTAGGCTTAGACTTTGACAGATTTCAGAAACGCAACGTGGAAAGCAGCTGCGCGACATGCACGCAGCACCGAACCCCTCTCTCGTGACACTGCACGAACCAATAAGAATGCAAGCAAGGCTCTTCGAGCAAAGGTATCCGGGCTATACCATTGTTGTTCAGATATTCATGATGATGCTATAAATGCTGTCGTTGCTGTTGTTGCTGCTGTTGCTGTTGCTGTTGCTGTTGCTGTTGCTGTTGCTGTTGCTGTTGCTGTTGCTGTTGCTGTTGCTGTTGCTGTTGCTGTTGTTGTTGGTGCTGCTGTTGTTGTTGTTGGTGGTGGTGGTGGTGGTGGTGGTGGTGCTGTTGCTGTTGCTGTTGCTGTTGCTGTTGCTGTTGCTGTTGCCGTTGCTGTTGCTGTTGCTGTTGCTGTTGCTGTTGCTGTTGCTGTTGCTGCTGCTGCTGCTGCTGCTG